TACAGCATTTTCAGCCAATTTCTATATGTTTTTCTCAAGACCTATGACTTTCTATTATTAATTATGAATGTCATGAGTTTTGAGTATATTTTTTTAACTTCTGAGCATTTATTTGTATACTTATAAATTATTTAATCTGTAAAAAATTTAGAATAATGGTCATCCCACTATGTACTATCCTACTATATTGTTTTTGGGATCAGATGCTATCCAACTATCCAAGTTTGATTACCATGTCTCCAATGAAAGGAAAACTTTGTTTTGTATTTCCTACTTCATTTGTGGTTGGCCACAATCAGCTTACTGTTTAGAGATGGCCAGATTGAAGTTGAATACCTGTAATTGCTATTGTGGAAAGATCTAACCTTTTTTTGTTGTTGTTAATCACTGTAACACTGCAAACTACATTGGTTCATGGTATTTGATGCATGTTGGTTTTTGGACTTTTTTTTTGTTCTTAATGCGTGGTAATGTAGTATCAAAGAGCAATGGTCTATAGATGGCCCAGATTAAAGTTGAATAGCGGTAATTTTTACCAAGAAAAGATTTGACCTTGTTTTCATTGATAAGCACTGTAGCACGCACACACGGGCACACTGCAACTACAATTGTTTATGGTATTTGATGCATACTGGTTTTGGATTATTTTTTATCTGATCCTTAATACTTGGTATGGTGGTATGTGATCTTCAAATAGTGTAAAAACTAATTATTCCATATAACAATACTTAACATGGTTTAAAGCTAAATTCAGCATGTGAATTCCTTGTCCAAATGTGGTCAGGGGATGTGGGGTTTCTTATTTGTCATTGCTTTATGGTTTGTGTCGTTTTAGTTTTATCTTCACATCCTCTGTTAGCTCAGTTCTGTATTTACTTATACACACTGACTTGAAGTAGATATTCATTTTGATATTTTGATTGTACTTTTTTTTATGCAGCTTAGAAACTACATTGAGGAATTTTTCCTGCTTGACTACTGGGGATAGCATTATGGTGGCTTACAACAACAAGAAATATTACATAGATATTATAGAAACTAAGCCTGATAATGCCATAAGCATTATTGAGACTGACTGTGAGGTGGACTTTGCTCCTCCCTTGGATTACAAGGAACCTGAAAAGCCCATTGCACCAATTTCTGCTGGAAAGGCACCAGTGGCTGGTATGCACTTGACTGACTAGTGTTTGTCATATATGTCTCTTTTCTGTTTGGATGGATGGAATACGTGTGACATTTTTCTGTATATGGTATTGGAAGCTTCTCTTTGTTATTTTTAATTAATACTGTATGACACCATACACACGTTTCTGTTTAGTTGACAATGATTGGTTCATTGTTTAGTTCACTATCTATTTATTTTAACTTGGATATGTACAATCTTCAATCAATAAGAGGGTTATGTTTGTTTCTATAAATAGGAGTCGATTCTGATAGAGCTAGTTGTTCATGGTATTTTAGCTAAAGGAACATCCAATTTTTTAAACTTTGGTAAATGGAAAATATAATTATCAAAAAGTTTCATTTGGTTATTGAACTTTTACTGTGATTTAGAAATTCTGATATTATTAGCGCTTTTTTGCTATGAAGACTAACAACTGTTGTTCCTTTTCACAGCTGAGGAAACCCCTGCTGAAACTGAGCCCAAGTTCAACCCATTTTCTGGAACTGGGAGACGCTTGGATGGAAAACCTTTGAAGTATGAGCCCCCTCCAGTTTCTTCTTCAGGGTCCAAGGACAAGAAACCTGATGTTCCAAATGTCAATTCGCAGTCTTCCACAGCTTCTAGTTCACAAAGTGATGCTCGTCAATCTCAGGGCAAGCTTGTGTTTGGGTCAAATGCAAACCGTACTAAAGAGACAGGAAAGGTAATTCTACTACTCTTACTGCTGCTTGCTAGTATTTGAATGGTAATTGATGGACTGCTAAGTTCTACATCTTCCGTCTCTGCAGGCAAAAGAGTCAAAACCAGAGCCACCTAAAGAGAAAGAAGAGGCTAAATTCCAGCCTTTTACAGGGAAGAAGTATTCTTTACGGGGTTAATTTATATCTCAATTAAAATGCCTTTTTAACTTTTATAAGTTGTTACATTGTTCATCTCTGCATGGATCCAAGTCTATTGCAAAAACTTGTATTTTTTTATTGTATTATATGCAGTAGATAGACCAGTAGACGCCACAGAAAATACTTAGATTACCTTAATTACTTGTGAATGAAGTTCTTGACGAGGTTCAACTTCCACTTTAGTCTGGATCGTTAAACTTTATCAGATTCTTCTGTTGCCTTTTAGGTAAAACTTTCTGGGATAACTGACTTTATTATGAATCCAAATCTTTCTAGTATGATTAGTGTATTGTAACGTCATTTTGCTTAAAATAAAATGAGTTTATTTGTGAAAAATAAAACCGTATACTGATGTGATTAGTGTCGTTTTGATACAAAATTGATAAATTTGAAATCTAAAGCTAGGCTGAGTTCCTTAGAAGCCAAACTAGAAAAATGGTCTTTGGCAATAGTAATAGTAATTAATAAAAACAATTCAAGCTCTCTAGCTAGCTGTTGAATAGAATCATCCTCCAGCTTCGGCGTTGCATAATCTTTTTAGCTATATTAGATTCGTGTGGGTCCTTGTCATCATAAATCTAATGACACAACTCTCTTTTTCTCTCCACCTGTATGTAAAATTTTTAAAACGGCACAAGGCTTTGAACGTAGCGACAAGGAAATGAGTTGGAATCCAATGCTTGGATACATAAATTAACACAAATTTATCTATTTAATAAACAATGATGTGTCGCTTGTGTTTTCTTCAGCGTTAAGAATGTGTTCAGTAAAGTAAATAAACTAATTTTTATTTATTGGATTTCTTCAGTAGATAAAAATGTCCTTTATAGAAGTGTACAGTTAATTAATTTATAACATTTCTTGAATATCACTTATGTAGCTTTTAAGAGTAACTCATGTCTCCGACTGTATCCTTAGCTCATGCACAAGATAAACTAATTTGCTCATGTAAATTAGCTCTCTTAATTATTTTTAACTACTATTTTAGCGTTTGTAATACACAATAAATATTTATTTTATATAGTTATAATTTATAATAAATAAAACCTAAATATTAAAAATATATTATAACTAAAATTCATAAATGAATATTTTTGAAGATATAAAATATAGTTTAAACTTACAATAGACAATTTATAGTTATACAAAATTATTTTTAGTTATTAATATTTTTAAAAGTGGACAGATATGTTGACAGCAACTGTAAGTAGATAAGCCTTGTACTAAATCTAGACTGTTAAAATAAAATAATCCAATGACTTAATTTATATCAATTAAATTTTTTTAAAAAAAAAACAAATAAGTGAGTCACGTAACTCCTTTCTTTCTATAGTCATATAACTTAATCATCCCAACATTCGAACCAATTTCTGAATCACGTTATTATCAATTTTTGTTAATCTTTGAAGACCCAATCTTGATTTTTTAAGAAGCGCCTCTTCAGCCTCATCGCAATGAATATCGTGACTTCGAGACCCAGTTTGCAAAACGCGCAACCTTGATGCTGAAAGAGATGAGAGGTTGACAAATATCTTAAAAACACTCTTCACAAGGAAAATCAATTAAAAATGTTTTCGTTGAAATATAATTTTTAAAAATATTATCATTAAAAATAACTGTTATAATTTATATATATATATAGATTATTTAATTAGTTAAGAAATAAAAAAATGTTTCTACGTATATTAATGAATTTAATAATTGATCTAAAGATGTGAATTCACTAATTAATTTCACCCTTACTAATAATTCAATTAGCTAACTTGGTTATCACTTTTGTTGTAATCAATGTTATTATTATAATTATTATCATGTGATTATTATTATATTACTATTATTGTGTAGTATTAGAAATGAGTTGAGTTTGATTTAATAGTATTCGATTTATTTTATAATTTGATATGATTTTTTTTTCTAGATTGAAGTTGACTTGATTTAAGTTATTTGATTTAGTTTATTAACTCTTTAATTCGCATTACATAAGTTTAAGTAAATTTTTTTAATCTTATACATTTAAAATATTTAATTTAATATATATTTTAAATAAGATAATTTTTTTAAAGATATAATATAATTTCTATTAGCTTTACAAGATTACAAGGTGAGACTAAAAAACATAATTATAACTAAAATTTGTATAAATAAAAATTACTTTAACTTGCATAAAGTAATAAAAAAAACGTAATCCATAACCATAAAATTTGAAAATGTTATTATTATTATTACTAGTTATTATTATTATTACTACTACTACTATTATTATTATATATAATTAAGTTCTCAAAATTTTTTCAAATTTTAATAAATCAAAATTAAATAAAAAATCAATTATATAAATTCTCGATTCACCAATTGACTTATACACAATTTAAATTTGACTCATTTATTGATTGAATTTAATCTTTAATTCAAGTTTAACTTATTTGATTTATAAATCAAATTCAACAAATTAATTATCGAATTAAGTCAATAAATTAATTATAAAATTGAGTTTTATATTATTTTTGAGTTAATTAATTTATTATCTCCCTTATTATTATTATTATTATTATCAATATTATTTTCATTATCATTAAATTTATTGAGATAACTAATATTTTTTTTATAAAAAAGTAATATAGTAGTAAATTCAACATGAATTATTTAAAAAAGTAAAAATTGTTGAATAATTGAGTTTGAGAGTAGTAGTATTTGAGATTAATGGCGCGTTACTCCTTATAATTAATGTGTCGTAACCACCTTACCAAGGGAACTGTGCTTGTTTGTGACATATCAACACGAACACATACACACAAGTCTAGTCGCCTTGTCGCATTGTGAAAGTCAATGGCATCACCCCACTTGGATTTTCTGTGCAAATGCAAAGATCTCTCCATCAATCTTCTCAACTCAACACTAATTAATTAATTAATTAAAGATAAATAATTGAGTGCAAAGGAGAATCGCATTCACAAATCACAATCACCCTCTCTTGTGCTGTGCGCATCCATCCATTCATAATTCATCCACATCCCTTCCACTACCATCTCTCTATCTCTTCCTTCATACACACCAAAATAATAAAGTTTCACACTTTCACCGTTTCCACAACTGGGTTTCTGATATGGAAGGGACCTGAACTCAAAACAAAACAAAAAAACCGTTTTGGTAAATTTGTTGTTGAATTCAGAATTGTGAGAGAGCGAAAGTGAATGATGGAGTCGAAGGGTCTGCGGTTCATAGCGTACCAATCAATATTCTCGAGAGTTGGATCTGGGGACTTTGATGGTGTTAAGAGAGTGGTGGAGCAAGTGAAGAAGGAAGATGCTTCATTGCTCTCTGATGTCATGTCTCTTCAGAACGATGCTGGAGAAACCGCGCTTTACATCGCTGCAGAGAATAATCTGTTAGAGATTTTCAGGTTCTTGCTCAGCTTGTGTGACTTTGACGTCGTCAAGATTCGCTCCAAGTCTGACATGAACGCTTTTCATGTTGCTGCCAAACGTGGCCATCGAGGTTGGTTTTCTTTTTTCTTTTTTTTCCCCCTTTTTTCATTTGAATGGAATAATTTCTTGTTATGGAGGTGCTGGATGTTGTTTAATTTGGTTAAACCACAATTTTTTAACGGAAGGTTTATGATTCTCTTGATGGTATACAAAATAATATTGGTGTAGCACCGATAGAAGAGAAGAGACACAAAATCAGTTCAGGTGTACAAAAGAGGCACAAGTGAGGAAACTAGATTGCATGGTTTTTAGTATGATAAAAAAGGGGAGAGGGAAACCAAGAAGGATAACAAAAGAAATTGTTAAGAGGAATCTCATGGTAAATAATATCTATAAGTTTGGTCTTTAAGACTTTAACTAAGCCGAATGGTGTCGTGTGATCTGTGTAGCCAACCTCACCTAGTTAGATAAGGAACTATCAAATACAAATGCACCAAACTCGTGTGAATTAGTAAGGCTGTGTCATCGGTGTTTTTTTTCTTTCCTCTTTCTGACTTGCATTCTGTATACTCAAGTCTGTTTTGATTGCCATGAATCTGATTATGACACATGTGTAAGCTTTTAGGATAGTAGATAGCTGGTGAGTGACTCTAGTCATCCTTGGAACTCTTGGATGCAATTTTTATTAAGATATTTATGGGTACAACAATATTAGAAATCAGGGACAAGGTGAATGCAGTATTATCACGTTTCAATATTTGATTCTACATAAGGATTTCAATTCTGACTCATTTTTTATCTCTTTCCAGATATTGTGAGGGAGCTTTTGAATACTTGGCCTGAGGTCTGTAAATTATGCGACTCGTCAAACACCAGTCCTCTGTATTCTGCTGCAGTTCAAGACCACTTGGATGTGGTGAATGCTATCTTGGATGTCGATGTCAGTACCATGTTCATAGTCAGGAAAAATGGCAAAACTTCATTGCACAATGCTGCTAGATATGGCGTTGTTCAAATTGTAAAAACGCTTATTGCTCGGGATCCAGGAATAGTATGCATCAAAGATAAAAAAGGTCAAACTGCACTGCATATGGCTGTCAAAGGACAGTGTACTGCAGTGGTGGAGGAGATATTACTAGCTGATCCTTCTATATTGAATGAGCGAGATAAGAAGGGTAATACAGCTCTTCATATGGCTACAAGGAAAGGCCGTTCACAGGTTAAATTCACATTTTATTGAATTATAGTTGTAGGACTTTGTTTTTCTGTTACTGTATTTTCTTTGGTTTTAGCATAAACGTATCTATAAGATCTTAGTTTTCTGTAACATAAACAAGTTGCTAACTTTGGTAGTGGGAAAATCCAAGATGGCATGAGATGATTTCAAGACAATCCATCTGTTGTAAAATTGTTATGAGAATACAAAAGATGCATGAACATCCTCCTGTGCCCCAGGTGGCCTTCCCTTAGTTAAGTGAGAGGGGTTATTATACATGTTAATTGTGAAGTTATTGTCGTTATCTATGACAGGTGCATTTTTCAAGTCAGTAGTCATGTAACTCTTGTAGTAAGAACATGCTATACACTCTGAAGATCTTATTGGTTGCATGCATGTAACTCTTGTAGTAAGAAGTATGCAGTGAAGTCTTTTGAGAAGCAATTCAACATTTCTTAATCAATTGTGATTCTAGATAACTAGGAACTTTAGGTTTTTGACCCTGTGACTTTTTATGTTTGTAAATAGTAACAGTATAAAGCACCACCTGGGATTTTAGAAACGGGTTATTTAAATATAACCTATGATTTCATGCATATGAGAATTTTATTATATGCATAATTTGAACAAATTGAAAGCACTCATTTGCTTTAATAATTGTTGCTTGACTTTAGTTGCAATGAATTTTTTACTAGTCACTTTATCTTGGCTGCCTTTACCAACGCATAGTTCTTTTTTCAGATAGTGAACCTTTTGCTGAGCTATTCGGCTGTGGATGTTAATGCCATCAATAAGCAGCAGGAAACGGCCTTGGATTTGGCTGATAAACTGCCATATGGAGATTCAGCTTTGGAAATCAAGGAAGCCCTTGCAGAATATGGTGCTAAGTATGCCAGGTATGTTGGTAAAGTAGATGAAGCAATGGAACTTAAAAGAACTGTGAGTGATATAAAGCATGAGGTGCAGTCACAGCTTATACAGAATGAGAAGACTCGCCGACGCGTATCTGGTATTGCCAAGGAGTTGAAGAAACTTCATAGAGAAGCGGTTCAAAACACCATTAATTCTGTGACAGTGGTTGCTGTCCTTTTTGCCTCAATAGCATTCTTGGCCATCTTCAATTTGCCGGGTCAATATATAACGGAAGGACCAGAGGCTGGAGAAGCTAATATAGCCTCTCATCATCATGTTGGTTTCCAAGTTTTCTGCTTTCTGAATTCTACATCTCTTTTCATTTCTCTTTCAGTTGTTGTAGTACAAATCACTTTGGTAGCCTGGGACACAAGGGCTCAAAAGCAGCTTGTGTCTGTGGTTAACAAGTTGATGTGGGCTGCATGTGCATGCACATGTGGTGCTTTTCTAGCAATAGCTTTTGAGGTTGTTGGAAAGAAAAAATGGATGGCTATCACCATCACCCTTCTGGGAGCACCAATTCTTGTTGGCACTCTAGCAAGCATGTGCTACTTTGTTTTTCGACAACATTTCGGTATTTTCCGCAGCGATTCCCAGAGACGCATCAAGAGAGCAAGTGGAAGCAAATCTTTCTCATGGTCTTACTCAGCAAATATATCAGATTTGGATGAATATAATTCTGACATTGAGAAGATATATGCCTTGTGAGTCAAGGATCACGTTATCACATAAAAGAAGAGCAATGTTTCAACCTTTTAACTGAAACTGTTATACCACTGCTAAGTGATCATGTTTGCTCGCTGGGATTTCATTATTCATCTCAAGTTTGCAGTTTTTGGTTTCAGGCTGTACTACTAGGCAAATCAGTTGGGTTTGCATATGCTAATGCGATTATTATTAATAATAATCAACACTTGTAGATTTATGTACATGTAATAAAAAAATATGAAAAGGAGGTCCACTACTCAAGTTTGATATTGGAACGAGCATTTTCATTATAATACAAAAATGAACTTCCCAATCCTCTAAATTTTCATCTGCATTACATTGCACCATGCAGGAGACTAGTGTTTCAGTCTCTAATTACAATTACAACTAACATAGACTTGCCGGTTAGTTCAGCTTTATTAATACAAGATAAAACCATAGCTTATGAAAATAACCTTGCTGAAAAGTAAAAGGTGTTCACATTTATTATTCGAAGTCCGTATATTCTTGTCGAATAGATTATATTTATTTTTTACTACACTTTAAATAATAAAAGTTGAAAGGCAAATTCAACACTTTTCGAATAATATTTTATTCCTTGACCTATATTTACAAATGTACTTTTCAAACAAACTTCTAAACAGGCAATCACATTGCCTTCTGAAATGAAATCAAACAAAATAAAAAAGAATGTGGTAAGCCAACTCAAACAAGTCGCAGCTAATTACTGGTTATTATATATATGGCAGCACATGACAAGATAAACAAAAAGCAATTTTTCTAAATAAAATATCCCTCTAGCCCACATGGTTTTCAACAAAAACAACAGAACCACGTGGGTATGTATCTCGTTTACAAGGTCAAAAGAATAGCCCAGCAAAGCCCAAGCTTTATATTCATGATTCCAAAACCCATCTTTCACCACCCCAACCTTCTATGATAAGTACAATAAAAGGAGCTATTATGATTTACAATTTTACAAATCAATACCCGATCCCATTCAAAGTTCACATACATTGGGATCGGTGCACAATAAGATTGACTCAATATGGCAATATGCAACATTCTAGCTACCCTGGACTCTTTTAGATGATCTTGAAGGAGCAACAACATTAAGCTCACTCAACTGAGGCCGCCTTGGTTCTTCCTGTCTCTGCACCTCCTGCATATTAAAGAAAACACAATTCATCACTTCGAATATATGGTTTGTTAAGTAATCATGAAACTGACACCATGGCCTAATCACTCAAGACCATGTTTGGGTAAATGTCTTCACAAATACTTATGAGAAAAGAAAATAAGGAGAAATGAATTGAACTTCTCTCATAAATAAAAATCAATTCATATACCTAATCTTCTAAACAAGTTAATGAAAGAGCTTCTACAAATGTTATAGATAAAAGTTTATTTTAATTTGAGAAAAAACTTCGGTTTCATTTTACCGTCTTATTTTTTCTCCTGTAAATACTTGCAAAGAAATTTATCCTAACACCGTATCGAAGTAATAATGTGCAGAACGAATAAGGAAGCAAGCAACCTTTGATGACGAGGAGGAACTTTTACGCGACAGTGGCTGTGTTTTAAAATGTACACGATGCTGGTGCTGCATTTGTTGAAACTGTTGTAGCCTAGCAACAAAATTTATCCCATTGTGTGAGTTCCCACCATCCATAGCTATGTCACCATCCTCACTGATTTGAGATCCACCAGACATGTGATGGAGAAATTGATAGGGATTCCCTGAGGATGTCTTCTTCAATTGCTCCCCATTGAAGGAATAAGATGGCACGGCTTTTAAACGAGTTTTGAGAATCTTGAAGGCAGCACTTTGCTGCATAATGGTACAAAATAAAGTGTCAATATAAACAGTAAACCATATGTATGTACCATCAAGACTTACTTTCTTTTGGCACAAAAGTAAATAGCTAGATTATGTGGATAGAAATATGAATTGCATGATAAATAGTTTTCTAGAAATGCATTGAAGCACACCAGTACACATCGTGATACAGTGAAAAATACTCCTAAATACTTGAAAAAATAAGAGTTAAAATAATGTTAACAGTCTGGTATTTTGCCTCCTATTAGATGTTTGAACACATCAAAAAGGAAGTGTTTAAGTTGCACAGACCTGAGGAAGCAACATCAAAAGACCATACAATGCTTTAAACAACCATGTATATCTTCCAGGTTCGAGAAGCTGCAAAATTAAATAATCATTCAGGTACATAAGAGAAAGAGTTACAAATTATAACTATCCTTCACAAAATTGATACAAAGAAATTTATCTCATACTCAGGAAAGATTTGCATATTATACGCAAGAAAGTTAGGATAAAAACTATTATGAGGATCAAGCATATGCATGGTAGTTAGGACCTGAGAACAACAAAATAAGGGGGTAAATTATTCTTTTGATCTCTTTTTATTTAATTGGTTCAATTTGGTCCCTTTATTATTAAATAGTTCAATTTTTAAAATGATGCAATATTGTACTTTTTGTTCAATTTAAACTGTACACATGACACAATAATAAAAAATATATATTAAAAAAAACGTTACTATGCTTGCAAGAAAATAACGTTCGACAAAACTGGATAGAAAGGACAACATTACATCTTTTTTGAAAACTGAGACTAAATTGAACTTTTTAATTATAAATGGACCAAATTAAAATTTTTAATAATAAAGGAACTAAATTGAACCAAGTAAATAAAAAAGGACTAAAACAGTAATTTAGCCCAAAATAGTGTTTCATTATGAAGGAATTTGAAAGCCAAATTGTAACATAATAATAAATTTCCCCATTAATCTTTTTCTTTTAATAAAAAAGAAACACCAGTCAAAGGATGCCATGTGACGGGTCCACCATTTACTTTAAAAGGAATCCTCTCCCAGGATACCATACTGGACTACATAATGCAAAAATGAATGATTCAAGTCATACCTAGGATCAAAAAATTATTTTATTAGAATAAATTCTAGCAGCGGGGAAAATAAAGGACTGCATCTAAAATGTTTTATCATGAGATTAAATTTCATTACTCGAGGTAACATCCAAACAGGAAGTCAGAAACCATTAATTTTGGGATGAGGCAAGATATTGCAACAAGACATACAAATTAAAATGGCATTTTAGCAAGGAAAAAGAATCGAAAAGTAAGATTGCCAACCTTTGGCCATCATCATCAGAAACATAAAACCAACAGCTCCATGTTAATCATATTTTTTATCAGACTAATTACAAAAAATATATTCTATTACAAGATCGTAGGTATGTGTAGAGGATTCAATTAAGCACCTGCAATCTTAGATAAGCAAATATTGGAGTTTCCAGCAAGCGAATCAATTTATCCAGCTGGACTAAGAATTTGACATTAATATCCTCCTCGACCAGAGATTGAATCACAGCACTCGCATGTTGGTAAGTCTGTCGACGAAGATAATTCATATTACAAAAAAGGGGCAAATGATCCAAATAAAGCTAAGCCACTATCCATAATACACATTGTTTAAAAATGTCAGTGATTGAGTGCACAAATGTGACAGTTAATATAAAACCAATTTATAGATACCTACCTGGGCTAATAAGCAGAGACTTATAATTGCCATTGGAGAATGGCACCACGAGGCATACAAAGAAACATACAAATCCTTCCCAGCGGGATTTACCAGTGATTGCTTCAAAAGATCTCGAATCTCGGATAGTTCCGATGATGTAAGTAAGATCAAATTTAAAGCCTGTAAAATTTAAAAAAGAATAGTAAATGTATAGTAAATGAACTCACTGCCACATCAACATCAATCTAATAGTAAATGAATATTGCTAACTTCCCTTGGATATTACACAAATGGACACTAATGAATTTTAAGGAACAAGAAATTATTAAAAACACAACAGATAAAAATTGATGCCATGCGTGGGTAAAATTTCAAGATCTGTGCCAGTAACAAAAACTGTAACAGACAGATCCTGTGATTCTTGTGATTATTCTCATTAAATTTTAAACATATTGTGATATCATTGAAAATCAAATATCTTTGACAATCCTATCTAAAGAGGTGTCATTAATATGATTGTACCTGAAAGAAAATTAAGGGGATGTTTGGTTTATCCGTTTTCTATCTTCATTTTCAAAGAAAACAGAAAATAGTATTGAAAATATGTGTGGATAAATTGTTGAAACCATTTTTTGTGAAAATATTTTCTAAAATAAGTGAAAAACTGAATAAAAATTTATTGTTTTCAACATATAAATCGGGTTGATAGTAATATTACTTTATATATATATAATCTTTTGACAAGAATTGGACATATTTCTTATTTATAGTATTTTTTTTATCTTGGGTATCTTTTTAGTCCTAATATAACCATTTCAAAGATAAAAATTCATTAAACTAGACTTTGATGTGTACAAAAATTGTATTTGTATGTTAATTGCTTAAAATTATCTTGCATTTTCTCCTAACTTGTAGAAATATTAAAAATGCAATACTTTTTGTGTAATTTCAATGAATCACTTTTTCCATCGATTCAGGAATTTATTTTTTATGAAATGTAGAAGCATGTTGATTAATAAAAATTAAAATATACACTTTTTATCAAAATTGGTTAAACCAAACATATTTTCAATGTTTTCATTTTCAGAAAATAGAAAATGAGAAATTAAAACAAACATATTTTCTAAATTCTTGAAATTTGAAAATGAAAACAGAAAACATTTTCTTAAACCAAACAGACCCTAAGCTTCTGTCACTTTTCCTTTCCAGATTTCAAATATTGAATCTCTCACAAATGGATTTAATGCAGAATCAAAATATTCAAAAATATCTAAAGGGATAATAACTAGTTAAAATGTGACCAAACCATAAATTTCCTTTTAATTGAGAAAGTAGAGCACACTAATTAAACTTATTAGCAAACATTTATGCAAAACAATTTCACTTAATACTGTCAAAGAATCGGACAGTTCTATAATGTAGTACGACAATATTAATTTCCCAACAATATTATCTGAAGGGATATACACCTATGAAGTATTGAGCATCAAATATCATTTGAGATTTTAGTACAGTATTAAATATTAAAAATCAATGTGAAAAACAGGTATACTCATTATCCAACAGCAAGATTTTTATAGGGCTGCCCAAAAAGTTTAAGTACAAAACACAGATAGCTTGCTAGCAATGGAATAACAGTTCACATAAAATCTAGTTAATCCTGCCCATAAATACAAGCAAATAAAATCTATAAAGTACAAG